AAAACAGATGGAAACACTGAGCCTGCATCTCCATGTGGTAGACCCCAGCTGGAGCTAAAGCAGGCCTGCATCTTGATTTTTTGAGACAGAGTATCAGTCTGTCACCCTGGGTAGAGTACCATGGTGTCATAGCTTACAGCAACCTCTAATCTTGGGCTCAAGAGACCCTTTTACCTCAGCCTCCCAAATGGCTGAGACTATAGGCACCTGCCACAATGCCCGGCTAGTTTTTCTATTTTTAGTAGAGACAGGGGGTCTCGGTCCTGCCCAGGCTGGTATCAAACTCCTGAGCTCAGACGATCCCCCGACCTCAGCCTCACAGAGTGCTGGGATTATAGGAGTGAGCTATTTGGGCCAGCCAAAGCTGGGTCTTCTTTCTTTTTTCTCCTTTTTTTTGGCCAGGGCTGCATATGGGGCCGGTGCCCTACTCCTTTGAGCCACAGGTGCCACCCGGCTGGGTCCTTAATAGGTGAAGTCCCTCTGCTTTACCCCAGTCCTCACCACCCCCAATTGTCACCCAACAGTGAGGCCAGGTGTTAGTGCCATTTGCCATCACAAATGAGCCCCTGATTTTTTTTCAGACAGGAAAGCATGCCTTGGGTCTGAGTACTTAGCAGCAGCGGCTCAACAGAGGACAGACTGAAAGGACGGGCTGTCTGGAGAACGTTGATTCTCACGGCTGCTTTACTTGTGTCTCTGTCTTCCCAGCCCCCGGGGATGTGATGTGCTGACTCTGATGATTCAGCCTCTTGTTTTACAAGGAAAACTGAAGCCCAGAGAGAGAAAACAACTTGCCCAAGATGCTCTCAACCCCTGATGTTGCTCATCTTTCTCAGGAAAGATGATACTAACTCTTTGAGCTTCGTAAGATGGAACATTTGTAGAGACGGCCTCGTCAGAGTGTAGTTGTGTCCTCAGTGCCGGGCACAGTCTGTCTTTTTAACAAAAGTGAAAAATACAGCATACAAAGCAGGGGCTGCCTTCCTCTTAGCTCACTTGTTCTTAAATATGTTTGCTTTATGGTGCCAATTTTCTCATTTCTTGCGATCATTAGGATCCAGAGATTTTCTCTTGGCTTAAACGTCACCTGGGGAGGAAGGGAATGAGTGCACCTGGGCCTGCTCTGGGACTAGCCCTTGTGTTGGGAGGGGGAGGCAGGAACCTGCGGTGATTCGTCTGGGTGGCTGCAGAGAAGAATCAGTGAGTGTTTGTCAGTGTCTCCAGGCAAGTAGGACACACCCGGTGTCACATCCTGCACTGACTCCTGGTAGTGTGTGATCTGCTTGTCACTTTCATTGACAACAGCAAGTGAGCATCTCAAGGGCCAGAAACAGGGTGGGGCGGGGCAGGGGCGGGGCAGCCCCCACCTGTCGCCTTCTTCCTAGTTTGGAGAATCGCTGCCTTTCACAGCTGGATCAACAGGTAAATACACATCAGCCGCAGCTTCCATCCGAGAAAACCTACTACAGGCTCCGAAAACAAGGGGTAGATGCTCTTCCCCCAGGCACTCTGGCTATCTCCCCTCCATCAGTAGTAAAGGGGGGCGTGTGCATGTGTGTTTTCAAACAAACAAGCTGACTCCCTAGGACAGGTGGACTCAGTATCCTCTCACCCCCATCAGCTTAGGAATTTTCTACTCATTCTGTTGTTAGCAAGAATGGTCATGTTAGCAAGCTATAAAGAGATTCAGCCCTTCTTATGATACCATCTTCCAAGATGCTCAATGCCCTGTTTCTATGTCTCGGTTTTGGTTCTTAAGCTGGAGGCTAGGACTGTGTTTAAAGGGAGGGACAGACACTCCCTTGGGATGAACATTGTCTACCTTGCTGCCCACTAGGATAAGAGGTTATACACCCTGGTCCCTACCCCACCCCCCGTGTCTCCACTACATCCTAAGATTACAGAGCAGGACGGCTCATTTTGGAGACTGCATTCTAGTCCCCAAACCCTTAGCTTACAAGAGCCAGTGAAAGAACGATGTAATCATCTTAATTCAGTGTGGCTTGGTTGAGTCTAATTCTTACTTGGGCAGTTATTAGAAAACAGGAGTGCAAAGGACCAGTGATTCTTACAGCTCAGATGTGGCTCCTGGGCCAGAGGGAATCGCCTCAGAAGTCCTGTGTCAAAGGACGTTATGTTGGTTCAATAACTGTATAAATATCAGTGAGAAAGTGACAACCATAAGGTTTAGTATGAAATTGGAGTCTCATGTGTCACCTAGAAAAGTAAGGGCATACAGTGATGTTTTAAAAATACTATCCAAAGGCCCAGTAGGATGTGTCGAGGAAGATTGGCTGCCGCCAGGTGCCCCTGGGATCTAGGCTGTGCACTCAGCCTTTAAAGGTGCCTCAGAATCCATCCTCCTTTACAAAGAGTCAGAGGCCTTAACATTTTGGAGTGATTGCAATGTGGATTTGGCTCTGTGTGGGAGAAAAGACATTTTACCTGTTGTCCAGAGAATGAGTCAAAGCCTGTGGTGCCAACTCGGGTCACCTCAGAGTTCCTGGGACGGAAGAGCTCAGCGGAGGCCCAGGATCTCACCTGGAGCCACCTGCCTGACACCTTGGCAGTGGAAGTTTCCAGGGCCCCTTCTTTGTGCCCTGAAGACACTCAGAGGTACGGCAGTAATGACTGCAGAGCTAATGACTCATCTGTCTTAAAAACAGCGAGTCATGTCTTTATGGGGACACAAAATCTCTGCTCGATATTCACCTTATGTTCATTACTTTTTTTTTCTGCTTCTTTTCCTGAGTGATGCCAATTTGGCAACACCCACAGCTGCCTCTCCTCTGAGTTAAATCTTAGAGATTTCCATCCTAACCCTCCAGAGCCCTGGGGCAATTCTTTTACAGCTTCCCACATTTAGTGGAATTAGGTGGCTAGACTTCCTAAGCCGTCTGATCTGAATAAAGGCCATTATTCCTCCTGCAGCAGCTCAGGATGGGGCCAGGGCCAATGGGACCAGCTCTCTGGCTCTCCTCCCACACCCTGACACCTCTTGGGAGCCTGCAAATGAATAGAAGGAGCAGAGCAAAGTGGATGAGGATGGAAATTAAGAAGCTGTTGAGCTTGCTAGGATGGTGGCCAAATGGGTCTGCTTTAGAACACTGTGTGAATCACTTAATACCCTTAATACCCTCCCATCGCAGCATCTAGAGCAGGGCTGGGCAGTGCGGCCTCTCGCATATTCTTAGGTTAAACAGAATACTTCACACACGTCAGCACTGCTTTGCTGTTTGAGTGCTAATCGTTACTTAGAAATATTTCAGTGCAAGCCCCACGCCCGGTTGCATTCCCCTTCTTTCACTTCATTTTTATACCTGGGAGAAGCCTGGTTTAATATTCCACTTACAAAAGAACAAAAGGAGCTGGCAACATGGTTTAATTCGGTTTCTGAAAAAGTTCTACTTTGGTATATGTTGAGCGTGGAGATCCCTTTGGCCACATTATTATCAGAGATAATTTGGAAAAGCTACAGGTTGTTCATTGCTATGTCCCGTAGCCATAATTACCTTGAACCTGCAATCTAGGTCCTGCTTTGTGCTTAATTGTGTCCTTGGTGTTCTTCACATTGCTGTGCGAGCACGGTGGTTTTTATAGTCGCACCAGCGTCCACTGAGCGGACACGTCACTGTTTGCTTATTATGCCTCTGGGCTGCTCACATGCAGTTCGTCCATAACTTGGAGCAGAACCTCTACATTTCCCCTGTGCCCGTGTTTTGTATTATTTCCTTAAGAGAGACTCTGAGATTTCCGTTACAGACGATGAATGAGTTCTAGAGCAGGGCTCCTCAGACGCGGTGTGCACACAGATCTCTTTGTGAGATACAGACTCAAATCTGGAGAATCTGCGTCTGTGACAGATTCTATGTGTTGCTCAGGCTGGGGCTCAGGCTTTGCACAGTCTCCTCAGGTTGCTGATGCACTGGCATCAGGGATATTTATAAGTCCCGTTTGACCAGGTCACCGGGTAGGCTGGTTACCTATGAGCTCTGCCTCCTGGGGAGTGTGTTCCAATCAAGGGGAAGGTTTTGATTAGACTGGTGTCCAGAGAAGGTGGGGAGCTTTAGCATTTGCCTTCAACAAAAACTACTAAGCCCACCCAGTGGTGGCTGCCCTAGGAATCACTTGGGGAGTTCATGCACACACACACACACACACACACACTCACACATACACTCACATGCACACGTGCCCCACATGGCAGAATGACTGCTAAGGATTGTTTAAGGCTTTCCAGGTTTTAGAGGTGACTCCCTGCGTGGCCAGAGTTGAAGACTACTCATTGCTAAGCCTGCAGAAAACCTTCAGTCTCCTGAGTCCCAACTGTGCTGTAAAGCTAATTGGGTAAAAAGTTGGGGGGTTGTATATGCTACCCCCACACTTCAGACAATGGATTGTCTGAAGCCCTGAGTTGTCTTTGCAATTCTAAAAAACAGTCACCATGATTTCTGAGAGAAAACTAGGTTTTGCCATCGCTGCCTTCTCCGCCAGACCCATCCTTGTGAATGCCACCAATGTACTTTCTGTCTCCCAAGCCCCAAATCTGGGGCCCCTGTTTGCCTCCTTACTTTCCCACACCCTTCAGATCTAAGCAGGCCTCACAATCTTTGATTCTGCACATAGGGTTTTTCTTACAGAATGTAACGCATCATATCCAAGTTCTCTGTTAGGGTGGTTGCGTCCTTCTCTTGATGCCAGAGAGTATGTGATGTGTTGTGTGTCCCCCTCACCCAGCACGCTGCCTATCGGGCGTGCAGTAGACACCCGTCAAATCACAGCTGAGTGAATGACTAGGATAGCCTTTGTTCTGTGTGCTTCTCGTGGTGAGTTTCATGCCAGCGTGGGTCTAGCAGGAGCACAGATTGCCCAGACGAAGGCTGGTGCCAACCCAGGCTCGGCCTTGGGGGTGTGCAGGACGGCAGACAGGACGGCCCGGGTGCCCTGAGCGCCTGGCCTCCCCCCCTGCCGGAGTAACACCTGCTGTCTCTCTTTGGCAGTTGCCTTCTCGGGCCTTGGCTTCACGACGTTCTACTTGGCGGGCAAGCTGCACTGCTTCACCGAGAGCGGGCGGGGGAAGAGCTGGCGGCTCTGTGCCGCCATCCTGCCCTTGTACTGCGCCATGATGATCGCTCTGTCCCGCATGTGCGACTACAAGCACCACTGGCAAGGTGAGTCCCCACCCAGGCCTGCCCGGGCCTCACGGTGTCCAATCCTCTCCCGCAGGGACTCGGGTAGAAAGGTGCTAACTCGAGGGAGTAAGGGCTGATGGTCAGAAACCAGAGGTGGCCGAGTGACACAGCAGATACGCCTGTTCCAGAGAGGCCTGGCCTCCCTGCTGCCCTTCCTGTGGGAAGAACCAAGCACTCCCTCCTCCCTCGTGCTCCAGGGGACTTTCTCGAGTTCTGCCAGGGGGTCGGGCCCTTGGTCTTAGCATCACTCTTGGCCTCAGACCCAAATGTGATTTCCCAGCTGGATCACTTGCCTCTGTCCTCAGACTCAGTGCCGCACAGTTCTGGGCTCCTCTCACATGTCAGCTCCAGCCTACAGGACTATTTCTCATCATGGATTTTCTTCCAAAAGGTGTGCCCAGCCATGGGTCAGTTCCAGCGGCATTCCCAGCTGCAACTATGAGACTGGGAAAGGCTTACCTGTGCGTGTCGGTCCTGGGATATGTGCTAAAAGTCAAAACAGCACAAAACGAGGAAAGAGTTTGTTCCTGGAATATAGCTAGACCATGCCACGTCCCTCTGCAGATCAATTATAGCTTAGAGACAGACGGTGTCCACAAGAGGCATGACCTCCATGAGTGGCAGGGCCTAGGGCAGACTTTTCTAAGCATAATCTCCAGGTCAGCTTGGTCAGGCCACTGTGAGCTAGGAACTGGACTCCCTGGGCAGTGGGGGGATATGGAGGCAGTGACCCGAAATCTCCACGATTCACCAGCCAGCCCTGAGCCTTCCTTGCTGCTGAAGTCTAAGGAGCACAGGTGAGGGTTCTGCTGTGTGTATCAACTTTAAATAACAAAGCAGAGGCCATGGGTCTAAAGCCAGCTTGCCTGGACAGGTGGGCTTGGGCTGTCATTGAGACCTGGATCTCCTCCCCTGTCCTGCCGCTGCAGGTGACTGTGCCCCTCCTCCTTCTCTGTCTTTGCAGCCAGCTGTCTGTGGGACCAGCCCCTTCTCCCCTCTTGCAGAGGTTTGTGTGGTGGTAATGAGGCGGAGGCAAGGCTGGAGGTGAGGGGTGCTGTCGGCTGAGGGCCCCTCTGTCCCATGGGGCTTCTCCTGGGGCTTTGTGCTTCTCACCCCCACTCTGCCCCTCCTAGGGTTCATGCCTTAGGCATCTTTTGCCCAGGGCAGCTTTGGGCTGGGGGGTGAGGGTGTAGGGAAGGGGAGGCTGACACAGGGCTTGGACAGGTGGACACAGCAAGCACCGAGTGCTGCCCGTGGTCTCCTGATGGGGCAGTCAATAGAGGCTGCAGGGCTGGGCCTGAGCCCTCCCGTGTTTGTTTTTATCAGTGGCTTGGATAAAGTTCTAGATAATACGAAGCCACAGGCAGAGAGGGAGGGACAGAGTTGCTGAGCCCACAGCAGCAAGAGCACATCCAGTGCACCCTCGGAACCTCCATGGTGCCCGTGTGGTTGGGCCATTTCCCCATGAAGACCGTTACGGGCCCCACGGCCTCTGCTGGGCGGCTTCTCATTTACCCCTGTGAACCACAGTTTCTTCTTTGAGCAGGGAAACAACAGTCCCTGAATATTTCACAGAGCTGTGTCACAGACTGAATGCAATATGCCTGTGAATGTCCTTCGTAAATGGAAACATCCCACACAAATGCAAATTGGTATCACTGTTGCTTGGTGTTGTGGTTCCCAAACAACCGACGTGGAGGCAGGCATATTTTGAAACACGATCTGTTTGTAAGCTTTGAATGCTGGGTTTTACTTCTACTCAACCATGTGGGATTTGGGGAGCAACTGAGGGTTTCAGAATTGAATCCATTTTCCTTTATGTTGGAAGTCAGGGAGAGGCTTGGCATAGGGATCTTGGACTGAGAAGTTAAGACGTGAGGTTGGCCGCTCTTCAGCGCTCTCCGCCCTGACCGGTCCTGTCACTCCTTCCCTAGCTGTGGCTGTGTAACGTGGCCATAGAGAATAAACGTTCAGAATCACAGCTCCTGGCTTGAGGGAACAGTGGCCTCAGAGGGCAGCTGGTGCACTCCTGGTTTGCAGACAGCCAGAGCTTCAGAACATCCTCCCTGACAGACACAGACAGGGACTTTGAGCAGTCTAGGGGGAGTATCAGTGCTCTGTGGGCTGATGGAACGCAAAGTAAGAGAATGCACGTTCGGTGATGTAGTGATGTTGAGAGCTGTGTGTGGCCATCAGACCCACATGGCCCTGGTGGACATCTACAGCCATGACTGGGTGTCAGTTGGTGCAGGCCATGAGGGTGGCCCAGTACCAGTTCAGTTCTGCCATTCTCTGTCCAGCCAGGACAGTGACAGGCGTTTCCTTGGATCCTCTAATGGCCCTGAGTAGGGCTCAGTTTACCTGACTGCTCCTTCATGAGGCCGTCTGTCACTGTCTCTACCCGATGTTCTCAGAGGTAGGTGGAGAGGTTGGCTGTACCTCCCAGGGGACATTTAGCAATGTCTGGAGACATCTTTTGATCATTTCAACATTGATGCAACTTGTATCTACTGGGTACGAGGGTCAGAGGCCAGGGAGATGCTGCTGAACACCCCCAGTGTCCATGGCTACCCCTCCCCCACAACCACTAGTTCCCCGGCCCCAAATGTCAGTGCTGGCATGGTGGAAAACGCCTGTTCTACATTGTACCTCACTCCATCTTTCTTTCCCGTGTTACCTGTTAAGGGAGTGAGAAATGAGATTTATTCAGCATTCAGTTATGAAGGGAAGAATTGTAGAAGCTGCAAAGTTTGCGGCGTGGAGGAGGGATGGACAGTGAGGCCCTCAGTGGCTGTGTGGGTGGCTGGCGGAGGCAGGACGCCTGATTAAGATAAATAACTTGTTTTGCTTTGGTGAACTGAGCTGTCCGTGACCGTGGGTGGGGGCCGTCCATCATGATGAGAATTCGCAGGCAACCCCAGAGGCATCAGCAAAATTCAAGTCCCTCTCCTATTAATGGGACGAGGTTTTATGACTCCGTTTCAATTTTGATGTGAACAGCTGTGTCTAGTGTGGAAATACATCCCATTGCTCAGTTACACATTCATATTCATACCATCCAGTGGCTCACTCTGTCCACTGTCATGGTGGGTTTCTGCTGTTGACACCTCTCTGGTCTTTTCTGCCTCCCCAGCCCACTCCCTGTACGCAAACCTGTTGTTTCATTAGGTGGGGCAAGTACAGCACGGGCCGGGGCCTAGTGGGGACACAGGAGCCCTGGAAAGAGCTTCCTCAGACATGAACCAGCTGGGTTGAGACTAAACCCCTGGGGCTGCTGTTCCCATGTCCCTGTGACACACTGGCTTTCAGGTCAACTGGAAGCGGGGCAGTTTCACAGGTGATGCTGGTTGCGAAGCCCAGTGCCTCGCAGAGGGTTCCTTTTGTGATCAACTGTGTGGTTTCGAGGCTAAAACTCGGGGAATTCACCTGTCACCAAACCCACTCTACCTCTGCTCACTGTCCTGCGTGTGTGGCTCGGGCCAGTGGAGAGTCACAGTGGGGAGTGGCAGGAGAGTGTAGTTTGCTGTCTCTGGACATAATGAATGATGAGCCACCTCCGCTCTCTTCACGCGACTTCAGATTTGGGGGTGACACTTCACCCAACACTGGTTTCTCTGACTGAGGGTCATTTTAAGCAGCCCTGTGCCTGTGTGGTGTTTCATTTTAAGAAAGAGCATCTCCCTCTGGGTGTAATCTAGAAACACAGGTCTCAAGGGACAAGCAGCCAGTTGTTCCCACCGAGGCTGAGGTTGGGAAGCGTCCCTGTCTGTCAGCCACACGCCTCATCTGACCGAGCTGAAATGTGCAGGGGGCCGCCCAGTACTGACGCCAGCTTCCCCCAGAGGCCACGAAGGCCTTGTGATTTGAAATGAATTTACATGTAGTTACCAGACTTCAGGAGGTCACCTGCCCAGCAAATGCTGATGTATTAGGGGCCGGACACTATGCTGGATTGTCATATGCACCACAAAGGACTTCCAGCCTCAGAATAGCCAGGCAGAGGCTGCTCCCTCTGGAGAAATCATTTCTGCAAAGCCTGACGGCATTCTGCAGTGCCCAGCTGTCTTGAGTTATTCTTCCCCTCCCGTTTGTCTGTCTGTCTGTCTCTGTCTTTCCCCCCACCCCTCTCTCTCTCTCTCACACATACACACACACACACTGCTAACCAGACCTATTGTGGACTGTCAGAAAAAAATCTCTACATTTTTCTAAAGGAAGCAACTTGAAAAGGAGCCCTTGGAATTATATTCTTGTTCAAGCCAAAACCCCCCAGCCGTGGGTAAAACAAAACCCCCGAGATTCTTCCTGTGATATGGTCCCAGTGAACTCATCTCGCCTCATTTCATCTGGGCAGTGGGCTGCGCTGTGTGGCAACCCTGGAAGTGACATTCGTCATTGGCTGCCAGCCTCTGCGTGGTCTGGGAATCTCTGAGCCTTGACTGCCCACGTGGGTCCCCCCACCTCTGCGTTGGTGCCAGGAAGGAAGGAGCAGCCTGCACCCCCTGGTCACGCCTCCCTCGGGTCAGGTCCCTCTGCAGCAGGAGCTTTGGCCTCAGGTGGCTTTCTCAGGCGACTTCTGTCCTCTCCCCACCTCTGGGTTACCCTGGTCTTTCTCCATTGCTTAGTTCCCAGGGAGAGGGACAGCGGCTGCTCCTTAGTCTCACGAGTGGCCTTGCTTCCCTTTACTCCAGGGAGCTCTTTCTCAGCTGTCCATGGTTTTCCTTGGTGTCTCCTATTTGAAATATTTCCAGAATCCGACTTCCCCTCCCCACCTGGCCTAGCCATCACCATCCACGGCCAGACGCACACAGAAGCCTCTGAACCCGTCGCCTCCCCTCTTCCTTTGGGCCTTAGGCCTTCAGAGCATGGGCTGCCCCTGTGAAAACCCACCAGTCACTCCCCCTTCACTTAGCATCTGAGCCTGTGTCCTGCAGCGGCCCACGAGGTCTGGTCCCTCAGTGCCTCTTTGACATTATTTT